GACTTTTTTTTTTTTTTTTTTTTACTGAAACAGCATGGTTTTAGCTTGAAGCACTGGGAAACCGTACAGTTACTTGCACACAATGAAAGAGCATGAAGATCTGCGGGGCAAGGTTGGGAGGTGTTGTACTCCAATGCTCAACCAATTGGCGACCAATGAAACTGTAACTCAGCCCCTAATCTGGACACCAGAGGAGTTCCTCTCCACCTTCTAAATGTGTGTTTGAGACTAATGGCTACACAAGCACTGAGCCAGCTGCCACTCACAGTGTTAATCCATAATAGCCCTCTGCTCCAGCCTGTTTCAAACTGTTGAAAAGCCTCTGTTCACATTACTCCCCAACACCAGACACCCTAACCCAATACAGGCCCCATTCTCAACACACACACACGCACACTATTTATCCCAAACACTGTGCAGCCCAGTTCCCCATTCTTCTCTCTCTCTCTCTCTCTCCAGAACATTCAGGGCTTAATACTTCAAAAACCAAATGCATCATACACAGCTGAGATGCTGAAGTAACTCAGAACACATAGTAGGAAATTGAGATTATACTTTTCTTAACTTAACGATGTATAAAATGAAATTAAATTTATTAAATGCAATCAATTTCATTTCATGCAAATTACATGCACTTAATAAATTATACGCTGGTTAATTTCGCCTCTGATGCAGGAACAGGAATTTAAAAAAGCACAGCACAGCATGCTTTCCACAGACACTACATGCATTTCTCTTTTCCAGTCAACCCCACCCACCACCAAGAAAAACAGTAAAGAATCAGATTTAATTAGATACAGGCAGCCCTCAAACTGAAGCACCCTTATGCTCCAGCCAGCCCTGTCAGCATCTACATGTGAATTGCAGCGCACTAAATAATGTTGCTGTGGGATAGTACCCATGTTTACAAGTACAATCCTACAATGGTGTTTATTCATTTACTGCAGCCTAATAGGGTTGCAGATCCTAAATTAACAGTTAGAATCTGCTAATTAACCAGCTCTGCAGTAAATGTCTTGTGTAGATGCACCAAACAACAAGGACCATGTATTGCTGTAACTTGCTGCAGACACTTCCAGCCAAAGACCAGGGAGTTTTGTTGTTGTGTTTTGTTTTTTGTTTGTTTGTTTTTATGTTGGGGGGGTGGTTTGGGGTTTG